CACATTCTTTGCATCCACAAAGCAGTGTCTGACAAAACGTAGTTACCAATAGAATGTGCACAAGAGCAAGCCTGTGGACACTAATTTTGGCAGGAAGGCAGTAGAATACGCACATGCATGTCATATTCCCCAGGTAAAAACCACTTCCAAGCAGTTTCCATTTTAAAAGGTAAGATTCTGAAGGACAGATCATATGTATGGCTTTCAAAGTCGAAACGAAAAGTTTGTTTTAAAGGCAAAGGACCTATTTATCAGTTTACTAAGAAAGTTTACTTGTAGCAGTTGGGCCTTTCCAGCAGGGGATTTTCATGTTAGAAAACATGTTTAAGGTAGCTTCAAGGAATTTGTGAGCTGCAAGAGACTTTGAGGATCATGGCAATTTGGAGCTGAGTGAGCGCAAATGACAGTTATCCATCCACGTCCTTGTTTCATTTTAATAATGCTGCAGGATGTTACAGGAGCCCATTTTCTGCAGAGACATAGGTTTATATTTTGGTATCCCAAGCAAGAAGACCAGAAGCACACCTGGAACGTTTGGGCAGTAGGGCAAAATCTCTCCATAACCATCCTCTGTCCAGCCCCAGATCTCACTTCAGGACCTCACAATAACTTGCTGTGCATTTTGCATGAATGAATCTTTGGACCTTACTCATAGCATTATGGTGCAGTTGTACTGTATTTCCACCTTTGGCCAGAGCACAGATGTGACACTGGGGGATCTGTCTCACAAAACAAAGTGGAAGAAGAGAAAGAAATCCAAAGGTTTGTTTCACTAATTGTGTAAAGCACCCATCTTAGTTTTCATTAGGATGTGCTCTTTCATTTCAAACTCTCCTTAACCAAATTCGGGTTTCTCTTAATGGCAACACCACCACTCCTGATCCCACAGACTCAAAGCTTATGTGCTATTTTGAATTTCTTTCTCTTCTGTAGTCGCTGCATCCAGTCTGTCACCAATTCCAGCAGGCACTATATGTACCACTGTATTTGACACTACCTTTCTGCAAATACCAGGCTCATTTCTAGCTCCATACTCTTGCTCTTGCTTTCCACTCGCCTAAACTGCTCCCTGAGGCCTCTATGCTGACCTTAGTACTATTCTAGCAGATTCCAGTTACCTGCCTCCTCTGTGAAGATTTTTGGAAATTCTTGCCTCTTATGACTACTGTACTATTTATATTTAAACGAAACTGCCTTGCATATTTGCTCTGCTTATTTCACAAGTCCTGTCTCCCCCAAAGCACAGTATTATATGCTACTCAATAGCAGGATTGATTCAGTTCTGAGCACCCCAAATCTTAAATACTAATCAAACAATGTTTCTGTGAACAGGTGGATATATGGTGGATAGGGAGAGGAAATTTAAAAAGGCGACATTTTTTTCCCATTTAGCAGTACAATTGTTCTATGTCTCTTCCTCACCAAAGCTTTGGAAGACAGAGATACAAACAAAAACCTTGTGAATACTGATGTCAAAATAAAATATATTAAAGCCTGGGTTTCAAGTATAAAAGACATAAGTGTGACCAATAAAAAAAAATTTTTTTAAAGCAGAAATCAAGTGCTAAGGGTTTCAGAATCATCTCAACTTCACAGATAGGTTCTAGCCACAACCAACATGTTGACATTTAAATTTGCTTTGAATGAAAACCAAAATTTTGTTGGTTATATTGACATTAAAAAGAAATGATTCTAGAGGGCAAAGAGACTGGAGATGATGGTCTAAATTACTATGAGTCTCTACAAAGAGGCCTATGAGTCCCTACCAAATATTCTCAGAAGAAAGGCAGTGTTACATGCTGCATATTATCCCTGACTTGTGTGTGCTACCATTCAGGGAGCATGAAGGCCCAGAGAAAGGCAACTGCAGTGATCAAGGGCCAGGGAAGCCACTGTATGAGCACGAACCAACAGCATCCTCAGGAGAGAAAAAGCAAAGGCTAAGCGAGATGGATTCAGATCAAAGCATAAAAAATCACAGGTTTTATGAATGGAAAAATGTGATACTTAGAACACTTGCTCCCAACATTTTCCTTGGTCAAATAACTTTGGGAACCCTGTCGAGTTACAAAGAACATTAGCAAGTTATGTAGTAAAGAAACTTTGTTGTTTAACATTTCCCAAATTTATTTGACTAGAGAATGTTTGTTTGCACATGACACTTGTTCACAAAATTCAGGACTCCTTGAACTAAGATGAATCTTTTAAAACCTCAAGACAAACTGATATACAAGGTGTGATACAACACATGGAATATAAACCTATGCTACCCAGCTCAAGAAATACTACCAGCTGCAAATACAAACAGGTTCCCAAAAATGTTTAGATAACTTTATAACTTCATTATCCACTACAAGAGACCGTCCCCATGGAGTCACCTTGATGCCAAGGACAGAGGTCACACTGGCCTAGATAGACAATTTCTTAGTATGATATTTTGTAAATCAGGCTGTAAATGGATGACATACAGTATAGAAGGACTTCCTTGGGTAGAAATCGAAGTAAAACCATCATTTTTCCTTTCCATAATAAATTTTTTAGTTGTTTTTTTTTTTCAGTTGCATAAGCACGACTGCTGCAGCCTTGACCTGCTGGTCTCAGGTGATCCCTTTGCCTCAGCTTTCCAAGTACCTGGAACCACAGGTCTGCACCAACATGCCTGGATAATTTTTCAAATTTTTTGTAGAGACGAGGTCTTGCCAAGTTGCTCAGGCTGGTCTGAGACCTCTGGGCTCAGGCAGTCCTCTAGTCTCTGCCTCCCAAAGTGCTGCAATTACAGGCATGAGCCACTGTGCCCAGATTTTAGTGTCTTTTTAAAAAAGTATAGTTTGCTTTAATTTTCAGGTGTATGAACAGTTTTTACACATTCATCAGTTGAATACGCTTATGCTATTTGAATTTAATTAATAAGCTCATCTAATTAAAATGGGTGAAATTACCAAGAACATAGGCCCTAGTATCAGCCGGGCCTGAGTATGAATCCTGAATCTACCACTTACTAGCCTTGTGACCTTGGACAACTTAACATCTCTCCACCTCAGTTTCCAGAGGTGGAAAATGAGAGTTATAGAACGTATTAATTGCAATAGCCTTTATTTAGCATTTTAAATATGATGTTCTGTATATGTTTACGTATGTTGACTCATTTAACCTTCAAAATTTTCATCGAGTGCTATGAAGTGGACAGTATCATCCTCACCTAAAGGTGAGGAGAGTGAGGCACAGAAGAAGTTAGGTAATTTATCCAAGGCCACATAGCTAGGAAGTTGCAAAGCTTGATTCCCACTGGTGCAGTTTACATATAAGTATTCTTAGGAGAGTATCCAGCACAAAATAAGCTTGCTACACCAGGTTAATTTTTTCTACTCTAATTAAATGTTTGCAGATGTAAAAGCCAGCCCCGAGCCCTATAGAAACTAGTGAATGTCATTCTTGGACGTGAGATTGAGTAACATCAAAAACGAACAAAACGCTTTTTTGTTGTTGTTGTTGGAGGTGTCTAAAGGCACTTTTTTTAAAAGTCAAAATATCCCATCAGCAAACACAGTGATGAGAATGCCATTCCTGCTGCAGTAAGGGAGGACATTTTAGCTACAAATAGTAAATGAAAATAACATATGATATACAAATGAAAGTTAGAAAATTTAGATGGGTTCAATGTAGCTGCAAACTTGAAAATTTTCCCACCATCATGATCAAAATTAATCTTGGGAAGATGTGCCATGTGATCCTTAAGCATTAGGTAAAAATGGTGGTTGCTGGCGTATATATTAGATAGTTCCACTAGATGGGGACCGTATTTGTGGGGAGACTTGGGTTGGAACTGACTTGGGAGAAAAGAGCAAAGCATCAACACTTATTCAGGTAGCACATTGGGAATGTTCCCTTTCCAGTACTGCCATACCTGCCTGGCTTAAAACTACACAAAATGGAAAAGCAAAACAAAGAAACAAACACGGACGGGCTGTGGAGGCAGCACGGCATGTATTTTTCTTTGATTTGGAAAAGTTGCTAAAATCCACGTGTCCTTGCTAAACTTGTGAGTCGCAAGATAAGTACTTTCATCCTTGACACGTTTGACATACCGCAAAACAAATTAATTTTACATATAATTTCACCACGTCTGATATCATCAAGACAAGGAGACTGGAGGAAATGTGCATTGTGGACATCTACTGCGATCCATGCGAACTTTGATAAAAACAGAAGTCCTCCACTTCCCCTTCCCTGTTCCACCAAAGAGCTACCTAAAAGCCTTTGTAGAAAGTAGCAGCAGCCAAGCTTAAGAGTGGTACTTTTTTAGATACAGTATGGCACTGTTTCTGCAAAAGGCTACTCACATGAATACAATGTTTCGTGGGCTAATTAATCCGCCTCGAGAACAGCTAGGCTAAAACTTGCAGGTCTCCCACCCCGGGCCACTCAAGCCAGGATCGCGACGTGAGCCCGGGGTGAGCCGAGGGGCATCCCGGGCCGAGGTCACTGGAATCGAAGTTAGAGGCGCGGGCCGACAACCGGAAGTGGTCCAGGGAGAGTTGTACAAGATTCAGGGGCTGTGACTTGGAAACGAAACAAAATAAAATAAAAGCTTAACTGTTTTCGGACAGACTTTCAAAAGCGTGTCTCCCGGCTCAAGAGGCCGACGTTCGCAGAGATGTCGCCTCACAGGGCTGTTCCCTAAGCGTGTAGGCCGCGCACGGCTCTCCTCGGCGGGCGGCAAAATGGGCGCCGGCGCTTG